GGATGAGCCTAATTCAGGTTATTACTTGTATTTGATTTGCCTTATCCATGTTTTGATGAAGTTTCTGTTCTTCTACCCACCTGTCCCCCACTATGACCCACTGCCTAGATGAGCTGAGGACACTAATTAAACCCCACAGAAGTTTTCTTCTTTGGCCTATGCCAGAACTGTAGATGGGCTTTGGTGAACTTGGAAGCAGAAAATATAAAGCCACCTTCTCCCCCATCCACAGTCTTGCCTGATGTCCTGTACACAGGCCAGCTTCCAATTGCTCCAACTGTAGTAAGTCCTGTGTTGCCCAGGTCTCACTCATGACCTTACCTGTTGATTTCCCCAGAAGTGACACTTACACATTTTCATGGAAGCTGAAGCCAGTTTATGGCCCAGAAATTCTGTTCAGCTTGTCTTCTTTGGGATCTTGTTTAATAGTACCATCATGCCATTTTCTTATGCATCTGGGTTTGTGCTTGCTACTCAGTTTCATATTAACCACATACAGTGGTTGACAAAAGATTTGGGGAAAAAAAGAATATTTAATAGTGGTATTCCTTATACACCTCAACTATATCCTCTCCTGGGACTTTGGAGATGGTTTCCTGAGGGTTCAGCCAATGAGTAGTGGATTGAAGTGGAAAAAGTCTATGTTGTAGAAAAACAGCCTAAATGGGCCAGGAGCAGACAGAGAAATCTTCATTGTCTCTGCCTCCATTTCATGTCCCACCTCATCTCCATTTGGCTGCCAAAATCTCCGATTCCGAATCTTCCCTTACTGCCAGCACCCAGACCCCTTCCAGGAAAACAAACCAACTAAGTGACAGCAGCAATGCTGCCCAGAGACCAAGGGTTTGATAAGGAGAGGGAGCTAAGTTCAAAATACTGGCCTAACTCATTGTTCCTCCTGTCCACCAGGTCACTCTGCTGCTTAACATCCTGGTATGGATCTCTCTGCCCCAGCAGTGGATCTCTCAGCGTGGTGCACAAGACTCTTCATAATTTCACTTCTGCCTGTCTCATCAGCTTCACCTGCTGCCGCTATAGCCTTTTTCTCTTGGCTACAGCAATATTCAACTACTTGTAAGTAAGTTCCTGAATACTGTGTTCACAACTCTATTTTGGTCATGCCTGGAAGTCTCTTCTTATACCCACCCCTCTTCTTTGCCTGGTTAATGCCTGCTTATTTTTAAGATTCAGTTCAGGCATAACCTCCTCCAACAAGATGTCCCTGCCTTAGCTGCTTCCCAGACTGGGTTAGATGTGCTTCCCCTGTGCATACCTACCGCATTGTATTGAAAATGATCTCTTTATCGCTCTGTTTCACGAGACTTAAATCCTTTGAAGACAGGGACAAAGTCTTCCATTTACACAACTCCAGTGTCCAGCACTGAGCCTAGCGCAGAGTATATTCAATAAATATTCATTGAACATAACTTTTTTTTTTAAGAACAAGGTGCCACTATGTCATCCAGACTGGTCTGGAACTCCTGGGCTCAAGTGATCTCCTGCCTCAGCCTCCCAAGTAGCTGGGCCTATAGTCATGTGTCACCACACCCAGCTACTGAATGTAATTCTTGTAAATCCTGTTATATATTGAAAAACATGTTCACATTATGTTTTTAATTTAAAAAATAATAGACTTTATTTTTTAGAGCAGTTTTAGGTTTACAGAAAAATTAAACAGAAAGTATAGAGTACAGAGTACATACACCAGGTCACTTTGCCCCCGTAGTTTTCCCCTTTATTAACGTCTTGCTTTAATATGGTAAATTTGTTACAATTGATGAGCCAGTGTCGATACATTATAATTAGCTGAAGTCCACAGTTTTGTAGCATTCACTTTTGTGTTATACATTCCGTGGGTTTTAACAAATAGTTACATTGTATCATACAGAATAGTTTCACTGCCCTGAAAATCCACAGTGCTCCACCTATATATCCTTGCTCCCTCCCTCTACTACCTCAACCCCTGGAAACCACTGATCTTTTTACTGTCTCCATAATTTTGTCTTTTCCAAAATGTCATAAAGTTGGAGTCTTAGTATGCAACCTTTTCAAACTGGCTTTTTTCACTTAGCAATTTGCACTTAGGTTTCTTCCATGTCTCTTTGTGGCACATTATTATTTTCAATCTTAAAAATAACTCTACAAGGTAAGTATTTTTACTAGATGGACACCTGAGATTTGACGAGAGGAGGTGATAGTGCAGAGATAGCCAAAATACCAACAACGTCATACTATCAATCCATTAAATAAACATTCATTAGGCCCCTCCTTTGTGTTGGGCATGGTGTTTGCCTGATTCAAAGAAGATAATTTCCTACTTCTTGAGGAGCTAACAATTTAGTGTACAAGACAGGCATATTTTTAAAAAACCCTCATCATTTCATAATATAAACGGCTACTAAGAGGGTAGGTATCTTGCTGATATAAGAAT